AAACGAACACGAGAGAGACAAACCGAAGTGAGAGAGAGACGAGCATGAGAAAGAGAGAGAGACAGACGGACATATGAGAGAGAGAGAGAGAGACAGACAGACATATGAGAGAGAGAGAGAGACAGACAGACATATGAGAGAGAGAGAGAGAGACAGACAGACATATGAGAGAGAGATGGAAGAGAGAAACGAACACGAGAGAGACAAACTGATGTAAGAGAGAGAGCATGAGACAGCGAGAGAGAGAGAGAGATAGGACAGAGAGAAATGAATATGAGAGAGATAAAAATAAGTAAGAGAGAGACGAGCATGAGACACAGAGAAAAACGTACATGAGAGAGACAAGATTGTGTGTGTGAGAGAGAGAGAGAGAGAGAGAGAGAGAGAGAGAAATGGGGGGAAAAAGAGACGGTGACTAAGTAGGAAATTACTAATTTCCAACAATTGTTACTATCACAGTAGATATACCAACTGGTTGCGTGGTGCGTGCGTCCGGCGCATAATGATTTGATTTAATCTGATTTAATAATATTTTAAGTGGATAAGATTTTAAAATACAAGGTGATTTTACAGTAAATATTTTTATTTTAATTTTCTTAAAACAGACAATTTTTTAATTAAAGTGTTTTTTTAACTTAAAGACAGACACAAAGAGATTCCGCTTTGCTGTTACCCTCCAGTTGTTTGTATAGTAATTAATTATATATTTCAGCTTTCTTTAAACAGATAATATTTTAAAATATTTTGGCATATTAAAAAATTATTTTGAAGTTAATCTGATTTAACAAATATTTTAATTGAATATGTTTAAAAATACGAATTCAATAAATATTTTATTTCAACTAACTTAAAATGTTTCATAACCTGACCGTCGGTGACCCATCGGGTCACGGATAGTCTAGTGTGTGTGTGTGTGTGTGTGTGTGTGTGTGTGTGTGTAAAATATGGATGAATCATCAGTTTAATATTGTCAGTTTTTTTTCACGAAATATTCATTGCCAAATTAAAACCATTTTATATATGAAGAAAGACAGGCATTTTTCAGACTATAGTTTTCTTTTATGTTTTTTTAAACACAAACTGAGAAGCTATAACTGATCATTATGACTGAAGGAGGCCGAAACCTATATCTAGAAAAACGATAGACAATAATTTGAAATGTTACACATACTAAGTAATTCTACGATTGCTCCTGATACTATGTAACCCAATACTAATTGCTGCATGGTCAGGAGATTGGTGACTAAACCAAGATTTTCTGGAGAGGATTGAAATCAAGAACTTTCAAAGAGTAAATAAACCTAATGTTAGGGCCAATGGCTATTTGGGGGTAAATTGGGCCCTGCAGCTATGTATGCGGTCAGTGCGGTGATGAGAGGACGAAAGGGACATACTTCCTGGACTGAGGATAGTTACGCACATAGAATCAACAGCTACATGGCCGTAACCAAAGTGAGCCTTCAGGCTGGAGGACATCGACCCAAATATTTGGAGTTAATTGGTCAGGTGCTCAGGTGACCCTAGGAGTATACCCTGTCATGGGATGGATGATCAGGATATATATTTAAAAAAAAAAAAAAAAAAAAAAAAAGAAAAGAAAACGGTAAAAAACAACTTAATATCCGAATGTCAGGAAATAAGAATAACTTCCTTTCTTGCAATTGTTATAAAGATCGTCTCATTAATGAAGTGACAATTCCCCCCTTCCCCGGAGATAATACAGGAGTTGGTTCGCTGTCCTGTTGCAAGATCAGGAATTTGTATGTTACGCTGCGTTTGATTTGCTTTTAGTCAGCCATTAATCAGCAAACAAGACAACGTAAAAATTCTTTAGAAACTCCTAGGTTGCGCAAGGTTTTGGGCTAAGAGCGAAAACGATTTCCAAATTTTTCCCATCAACCAATAAGCAACAATTTACGATTCTTTAAGATGCTCCCATCCAATCCACCTAAATGGTGAGCCTGGACGTGGTGACTTTGTTCACCAAGGTACTCACGGAGGAGGCACTATCAGAAGTCAGGGATAGACTGGCCTCGGACTTATCCTTAGGAGAACGGACCAGTATACCAATAGATAACATCTCCATCAGGTTGACTTTCTGTATACTAATAACATACTTCGGAATAGGATCAGACGTATATCGACATGATGAAGGCTTAGCAGGGGCTCGTCATCATCATCAGCAAAGACAAACATATACATATGGGACACTTCAAAGAAATGGCATTAAAAATAAACATCACTTAAGCCAATCCTACGGCTGAGCTACTACTGGACCATGTGAACTCAATAAAATCATTGACACGGTTCACAATGGAGAGAGAGAAAATGGCAACAAACTGGTATTCTTGGATGCACTAATATCTCGAACAGAGCATGGGTTCAAGACACCCGTATACCGCAAGTCACCATTCACCGGACAATACCTCAACTTCAACTCCCACCACCCATACAGTGTAAAGAAAGGGATCATCTGCTGCTTACAACATCAAGCAAAAGTCATAAGCGGTGACCCAGAGACATATAGGGTGATAAAAAAACGGAAATTTTTGAAGTGCATATTGCCAGACATGAGCAAGTGGCAACACTGCGAGACAGTGACCTTGAGCAAGTAAACATTTCGCCATTTAGAATTCAAGATGAAATTTACAGTATCCCAGCTGAGATGTTGCAGCAGTCAATGAGGAATCTCAACAGTAGATTTCAAGAATGCATTCGTACAGGAGGACGCCATCTACAGGACGTAATTTTGAAAAAAATGAAAATCCCATCATTGTTTCTTAAATGGCATGTTTTAAGGTTTCAATTACTATGAATAAAATATTTTTCTTTCATCACTCTTGGTTTTATTGGATTGTTAAAAAGTTCCCGTTTTGGGGGGTCATCCTGTATAAACAAGAAATGGCTTGTATAAGCACCCTACACACAAACTTTTAATCTGCCATTGGGTGACATGCTACTAGCGTTTACCGTTGGTGGTCCGCTGTAGGATGGTCGGCGTGTTCGACTCGGAAATGTTAACACCGGCGGACCCCAGCGATTCAGAGAATCGCTGCGTTCCCATCGGCGGCTCGCCAGCGGACCGCTTGCAGCGTAACAACTACCCTGGGTACATGTTAGCAGCTCCGACAAACAAGGATAGGAGGGTATAAGAAGATAACAACACTCAGAAAATAGCTTTGGTCTGCCTACCCAATGTAAAGGGAATATCGGAGAAGACCCAAAAGATCTGTGACCCATATAACATGAGAAAGACCTTCAAAAGTAGTTCGACACTTCTCCCCATAGAAGAGAACATGGCTGAGGACTGCACCCCGTGCAGCAGTTGTAAGAATTATAAAGGAGAAACAGTCTGCCCGTTAAGGTAAGGCTGCAAGGACATCGTAAAGCCGTAACACGAGGGAAATAGCAAAATCAGGCGTAGCTGACCACATATGGAGGGAAAAGAGAGATCACCACCCTATGTGAGACGAGGTTGAAATAATAGACAGAGAACATCATTGGAAAATACGAAAACTTAAGGAATCAGCATATATGCTAGGCCACAAAAATCTCTTAAGCCAACCAAGCATAGAAATGAATATAATATGGGAAGCAGCAATACAGAGTGCTACAGAAGAGCAATAATATCAACAACAAAAATTGCAATATGAGCTCTCGTAAAAAAGGTCACTGAGACATTAACTTTGTAAGTCCCCAAAATTAATACACTGAAGACCTAAATGACACATGGCCCAGTGGATAAAACGTTGGGTGGATCCATTGACTTGACCCAAAGAGATAAGAGTTCAATACTACAGTGATGAACAAACACTTAGAGAACTGAGTTAAAGGGAGATAACCGAGACATCCGGAAGAGGTATGGCACGAGGAAATAAAACAATCAACCCCGGTGGCGAAATAAAGGGTTCAGTTCGAAATTCCAATCACCTGAAGAAGTCCAAAGTGTACAACGGCCGAAACCTCGTGAATATAGCAATAAAGATGGCGACAACAGTCCGAACAATGTAAATAACTATGATCCTTTATTGTAGAATTTGAATAGATTTTTTTTTTTTTTTTAGTCGTTCCTTGCTTCTTACTGGCTTGTCTCGTATAAACGTTTGAATACTCTTCGAAGGGATCACGAAGTATGTTTTTTTTTATTGTCGTCTGGAAAAAAATGGTTAATTTGGTTGAAAAATGTTGAATATTTATTTTCAAAGGGTTAATTTATTAACCGGATGGATGACTAGGTCATCTGATCAGAAACCATTTTTTTTGTCATTTGACGTTCGACCATTTTGCTGTTTTTCCGTCTTCACTCAACAACTGTAACTTTAAAACACAATTCATGTCTGCAAATTATTTTCTACCTGCTTTTGCTATATAGACCCTCAGTGTCAGTTAATTTGAGCCTTCACCCTCTCGGTCACATTTTTTCATTCCCTAGTCTGTTACTAGTTATCTTTTGTTTATCATGTTATTCAGGCTAAACTGGTCTCAAGTTTGGATTCAATTCTTTTTTCCAGTTTCATTCTTTTCGGCTTTCATTAAATCTGTAGATGAACAGGTTTGTTTTCTGAATCTTAATTGCCGTTCGGCGTTTTTCCGACTATCTGAGGTACGTACGTGCGCGCGCGCAAGACGGAAGCGAATCAGGAGAGAGTATGATGTAAAGCCGGAAATGGTTTCATGATCGCGCAAGGCAGAGGAATTTGGTGAACATCTTGCAAAGCAGGTTGAACAGCACGCAAGGGCCAAATGAATGCGGCCATTATCTTATTAGAACAGCAACAGAACTGGTTAATGTGATGGGAGAGCATGTCACTGTACAGTGATCCCTCCATAAACTCTAAAGGCGATCGAGAGTTATGGCACACTAGACCTTGACGCCAGAGGTTGTGTGTGTCTAACTAGCAAACATTAATCCACAGGCCAGCGGCGCACATTCAAAACGACCCTCAGTTGCATGAAGACAGATTCTGCTTTGACCATTGATAAATATTGTATGTTGATCAATGGTTAAAACAACCAAGTCGTACGAGGTTGTATCGGAAAGTTACTGTCCTGTTTCTTTTACAACCCAAACACCCAGGCTCCATCTCTTTCGCCGCTCTCTCTGTCTCCCTCCCTCAGACACACACTCTTTCGCCGCTCTCTCTCCCTCCCTCCCTCCATCTTTCGCCGCACTCTCTCTTCCCCTCCCTCAGACACACTCTTTTCCTCCCTCAGACTCACACACACTCTTTCGCCGCTCTCTCTCCTCCCCGCCCCTCCCTCCCTCAGACACACACTCTTTCGCCGCTCTCTCTCCTCCGCCCTCCCTCCCTCCCTCAGACACACACTCTTTCGCCGCTCTCTCTCCCTCCCTCTCCCTCCCTCCCTCAGACACACACTCTTTCGCCGCTCTCTCTCCCTCCCGCCCTCCCTCCCTCCCTCAGACACACACTCTTTCGCCGCTCTCTCTCTCTCCCGCCCTCCCTCCCTCCCTCAGACACACACTCTTTTCGCCGCTCTCTCCCGCCCTCCCTCCCTCCCTCAGACACACACTCTTTCGCCGCTCTCTCTCTCTCGCCCTCCCTCAGGCTCCTTCTCCTTCGCCGATCTCTCTCCCGCCCTCCCTCAGGCTCACCCTCTTTCGCCGCTCTATCTCTTTCCCTCCCTCAGACTCACCCTCTTTCGCCTCTCTATCCCTCTCTTCCCCATCCCGCTCAGACTCATTCTCCTTTCTATCCGTCTCTTTCGCTTTCAGACTCCCTCTCTTTCGTCTTCTATCAGTCTCTCACCACTGAAAACAACAAAATGCCATTCGATAGTCCCAGTTGACCCTCACGTCACCCCTGGCTCTGTGCACGATCGTATTATGGCTTATGTGGAAGTCTAGCCAGAGGGTTAGGATTCTGATATCCAACGGTCTGCGTTGACACTACTGGAGCCACAATTTTTTTTATCTTCGTTCTAGATGTTGTGCCGTCTTCCTCTGTTGCTCTTACAAAGCGTCGATCTTGTCGACAGTCCCCGCTGTCTGCCTTGTAGATATCTCCGGGAATAAACCTTAAATAAATCCAGAGTGGGACTTAAGCGGCTGGAAGGCGTACCACCTCATTTCCAGGCAGCCACGCTGGTACTAGCAACGTAGAGAGGTCGGGATCCTGAATACCGCAAGATCTCCATTGCACCGACCCTAGCCCGTTGTGTTCAACGCTGCGCTATCGTCTCCAGAGACGGGCAGCAAATCAAGCAACATTTTATCTCTGCGCATTATGTGATTGTCTTAACCATTAATGGCCGCCATAAAATCTGGTATTAATTATAGATTTTTAAAACGAATGAAATCCCAAATTATACTTTTCTGTCGTTAACGCGTTAGTTCTCGACGCCCCTAAAAACATGACGGTAGGAATTAATGGTTCAAACGGAATTCTGTTTGCTGAAATATTTGGTTGGTCCCAAGATCATAGAATGTCGTTCTTCAAGGAGTATTTAAGGTTGTTTACTATTTCCATGACAAATGTTCTAACGAGCCACATTTCTTACTTCCACCAGTTCAGACCTTTACATCTAAGATCCACTTTCCTTTCGGAAAGATTCTTTTTGCTTTGCGGAAAAGACTCCCAAGAAGATGCTTCCCCGATCACTACAATCTTAACCCTTTGAGCCATGACCACCGCTTTACCGGTGAGAGACAAATGACGTAATGTGACGGTTAAACAGTGGTAAAGAAAAATGACGTAATACTCAACCACCGGTTGAACAGTGGGTAACTGTTTTTATATCCAGGGTGAAACATTACATACCAATTAGTTGTGAATTTTGACTCAGGAGCCGAGGCAGAAGATTTAAAATTGTTCAGGAACGGAGGGATCAAAAGGTTAAAGTCTTCAAATCTAGAGTTAAATGTTATTTACTTTAAATAATTTTATTTAACAAATCTTTTTTGAGCGGCTCTCGAACCTGGTGGAAAGGTAGTAACAAAACAAATAAATGCAAAGCGCAGATGTATAAGAATCGTTTTCTACGTAATGCATGGCAGGTAGCAGGAACAGGTAACAATGTTATCCACTTTCTGCTTTCAGCCACAATTGTTGCAGGCCGATACATCTGACAAATGGATTTCATGGATTCTCTCTTTTTTCCTACTGATAGTTATGTTCCCAGACATTTTTATGTAATTGCTATAAGATCACAACCCTAAAAACTGAAGGAATAACGTTGATCAATTTGACAGGAAAAATATCGCATTCAATTTAATGCTGAACTAAATTCGAACCTTCCTAAAGTAGATGTCATGACTAAGTGCCAGTTTATCGTGACATGAAAAAATAACTCCCCCCACCTGACCTTATTTTTCTATTTGGCGCAGATCTGACTTTTAATGGGTTAACCTAGACATACCTACAAGTATATTTTTTTAATTCTGAGATTATGCATCAAACTTTGACTTCTGAAAAGAGGAAACGATTTGTTTTTAAATTTCCCTAAAAAAATCATTTTTATCACCATTTACCAACCATCGCCTGAAGAAGTAAAATCATAATATTGAAACATGAAAGCTTTTGTGTAGCGATTTCAACATGTTTTTTTTATTATAATCTCTTATAATAAAAGTATAATAATATCGGTAAAGAAAGAAATGCCAAGATAACCGTTGGAAATTTCCAGTAAACGAAGACATCTATTATATACCAATATTCTTATTTAGCCTGTTTTTTTTGTTCATGAAGGTTCTTCGCATATGTAGAGCGAAGACGGAAATAAACACCAAGACAGTCAAACAGCAAATGACAAAAATGGTTTCCAAGACGGAGGATTGCGCATTCTTCCGGTTAATAAATTAATGCTTTGAAAACAAATATTTGACATTTTTTAACCAATGGGTCGCGTTCCCACCAACAACAGGCTTCGTGATCCCTTTAAAGGGTATTTAATCAAGCTTTCTAAACATACAAGCCAGTAGGTAGAGATAGACGGCAACAGTACACGACGCTGAGCGTAAAAGAAATTCCCTTAATCATTCACCTGTTTTCTTCATGAAGCTACGTGACACTTACACTTTCCTTTCACTTTTTCCCTTGCCTCTTCTTTCTTACACATAAACGCGAAAAAAAAAAATCACATTCCTTTTCGTCTTAAAACCCAACTACAAACGAAGAACTGTAAAAACTTTAACACTCATACGCGTTAAGAAAAATTTAGTTGTAAAAACACGATAATAAATATATTTTATATTTAAACATCTTTTTCGCCTTTTTCTTTGTTGTGGGCTGATTCGAATCCACAACACATATCTCCTTTGAATATTTTTTTAATTTCTAATACTCGAAATCATATATCCCCTACCATTATTGTTCAGTTGCTCATCGCTCAACCAGCAGTTGAAATCGTACAGCGTTGGGTGATACTGCCCAAGTTGGGGGGGGGGGGAATCCTGGTTTAATGAAAATAAATTCCCCGCACCCAATCCAAACATTATACTGCCTTGATACGAGCTTGAACTCTTTCAGAAGAGAAAATACGTCCAACCTAACTGTTGCAGATTAGCACCAGATATCTTGACACAACCTTGTTACTAGCATGTCACGATGCTTAATGAGTAGTTTATTTTGGTTTGTTTTGTTTTACGGCAGGGAATTGGCTTGTTAACTTTAATGCCTCGAAAACATAACTGCTCTCTATTACCCACCACAGAATTTTCCCTGCCTCCCATTAGAATGTCTGATGTTTAACACGAGATCACCTCTTTGCGACTTCTTGATCTCACACTGTCCGCTAACATCAGATGGAATAATTACATTGAATCAATAGCTTCATCTATCGCAAGGAAAGTTGATTTTATGTGTCGAGTGCAGAAACTTTTTCTCGACCGCGTCCATCCTTCAAATCTATACATCAACCATTCGCCCTTGCCTGGAATATTGCTGTCATATATGGTCTGGAACCCCCGCTGTTCGTCTTAGCCCCTCGTCAAAAAACAGAGACGAATATGCAATGTGGTTGGCCCTGATCTGGCATCTCGTTTACAGTCGCTCTCTCACAGACGTGCCGTCGCCTCATTCTTTTCTACAAATATTTCACGGTAACTGCTCCGACGAGCTATTTTCGCTAGTTCCCAATCTGCAGGAATTTAAACGTACCACTAGGTCGGCATCTCAGTCCCCTTTCACTGTCGAAATGTTAAATTTAGCCGCCTCTTCTACTTCCATAGCTTCATTTCTCGTATTTCCCGTCTGTGGAACTCCCTTCCTCTTACTTGCTTCCTTGATAGCTATATTCTTAATTTTTCAAATGCAATGTCAATCGACATCTCCAGATGCCTTGATCTATTCCTCGTTCTTCTCTTCATCCTTTCCTCTCTCACGCCTCTTTAACCTTGCTCCTACTTTCTGTAACCCCCTTGCGTCCTAGTGGCACTCCCGCCTTGCCTGGGGTGGAAAAAAAAAAAAAAAAAAAAAAAAAAAAAAATCAAGCTTATTAGGTTATTTAATGCCGACAAAAAAATTTATTGTTGATAATATTTTTTTCAAAAATGTATTGTTAGTATTAAAACCTATTTTTACACTTTCATAGTGTTTTGACCGTCAATTTGGAGTTAAATATTTGCCCATTCCTGAGACCCTAATAGGTGATAACACCCCGGGTCAGGGTGCACCTGGGAACACCAGCGATTATAATGTGGTTCCACGCTCCTCAAAAACTCCTTGCTGCCGGATGTAGTTTATCGTCTTACCGAGGACGCGGATGTAGTTTATCGTCATACCCGAGACGATTAATGAGTAGTGAATCGAAGTCATTACTCAGTAATAATAGTCAAGCAGATAAGCTCGTTAACCAATACTCCATCTCATGGACAGTTTAGGCATAAAATCGTAATTAAAAGATAACTAATGAGGATCGAACTCACTACTTATGATCTCCAAACGCAGCTTCCTAATGACGATATCCCATTGAGGCACCTTGGCCGATCCAGCTGTTGAATTGAATCTCTAGGAACGAGGGAAAGCTGTGCCTGTTTCGAGAAGCTATAGGGGAAAAAAAGAAGGAAGGAAGGCAGAAAGAGAGAAGGTAAAGAACTAATGTTTATCAAGTAGATGGAAAACAATAAAACGAGCCGCCGTCGACTGCCGCTGGATCTTTCTTTGTAGCTGTGGCTCGTTTCCTTGCTATCAATACGTCTTGAGGAAAGAACAAACGATACGAAAACAACGTTATAAAAGCAAAAGAATAAAGAAACTCTAAGGCCGTCCACTGATCTATGTGACGCAAAAAGGAAATTCGAGTTTTTATACCAACCGCTTTCCCCTCTGCTCTTGTATAGAAAACGACCTTATGGCACGACCTCAAGGGTTAAGTTCCTGTGAAACTTCGTGTTGGGTAAAATTGTCGTTGGTTTGTTAGTTGAAAGGACTAAAAGTTCAAGGAGAAAGGGAAGGAAACAAAGCGAGCGAAAAACAAAAAAACTGAAAAAGGAGTAGGCGGGACGCAACACTTGTGGCAGTGGGGAAAACAACAACCGAAAACGAACGTCACAAAACTGTTAGGCGGCATAAAATAGTCAATCCGCGAGAAGAGGGAAGAAAGGGGAGATAATTCCAAATGACAATGCTCGCAACTAAAATTCAACAAAGCGAATAAATAAAAAGAACATAAACAAATGTCTACGAAGCAAACAAAAATGAAAACAAAAAAAAAAAAGAAGATATTTTAGTATATAATCCCTCAACAAATGTATTTGTACAGCTTCGTCCATAACTTTAACAACTAATCCAAGTCATATAACTACTTATCTCCCTTGCATTGGCGATGCCTGGCCACAGTGCAATGGCGGATTATTTGAACGAAGAATACAAACGAAAAAGAAAAGTAAAGATATTTATACACGGACCTGTAGATACGTAAAAACGTTTTACGGTGTTCAGAATGTCATTACGTTTTCCAAGAAAGGATATAAATTAAATTTAGGTTAAATTTATTTAAATATTATTTATTAAAAATGTCTTCAGTAATTTGACAGTGGCTCGGATAAGGGAATCGGAGAGGAGAGTTCGAATTTTAGTCGAGTGCATTGCATTCATTTTTCGCCTGGAAAAGGTAATACAGTGTAACCCGGATATAAGAGAAACCCGGATATAAGAGAGATTTTCTCTGGTCCCAAATTAGAGCCTGTGTTAATGTATATATAATAGACCAAACCTGGACTTCTCCGATCCCGACAACTTTCTTATATCCGGGTTAAACTGTATATCCATCTCTTGAAACCTATGGAGAAATATAGACTGGGAATTATAGCGTTTGCTTGGCAATCAGTCGAAGATAAATAAAATTTTGAATTCAAACCGCCTGCTGCCTTTTAGGTATTGCCTCTTTAGCCAAAGGGTAGAAAAAGGTAACTTCAAAAGTAAATCCACCTTGCAAGAAGAGGGACAGAGTAACATCCACGGTGCAAAAGGAACTGGCAAGCCATAGTACTATTCTGCCTTGAATATGACCATGAATCACAACTGTGAAATGGAGTGGAGTGGTGACCACAGTGGTGCAAAATATGCTAACTAAATAAATAAAGGAACTTTTTTGTGCAGCATGAAATACTGACAAGTTTAAAATTTTTATTATTGTTGGTCCAAGGTATTTTAAACAGGTAAATCATTAAGTGAGAAATGACGTTCAAATAATAGCTGCTGGCAAGCCATCCATGAATGTAATGTCCTGTATTCCTTTGGATCTTCTTAGTAGTCAGGGAAGAACAGGGCCTTCTTATGTACCATTGACATTGCCAGTCTCAGAGAAGGGAAACTGAATTTAAACCACCTGCTGCTTTGTAGGTCTTTGCCTCTGAAAGAAGGGACAGGGTAACCTCAACATGCCTGGTGCAAAAAAGAACCAGCAATCGATTGCACTAGTCTGCCTTGAATATGACCATGAATTACAACTGTGAGATGGAGGGGAGTGGTAGCCACAATGGCGCAAAATACGCTAACTAAATAAATGAAGGATTTTTTCTACAGTGTGCAATACTGACAAGTTGACCTTCTTTTAAAATTTTTATTATTGTTGGTCCAAAGTATTTTAAACAAGTAAATCATTAAGTCAGAAATGACTTATATATATATATATATATATGTGTGTGCTCTTTGGAAACGTATAAATCCACCTTTTCTCCAACCAGCTAAGGGTAAAATAGCAGAACGCATCCATGTCCTATAGTCTTGGGAGGCAACCAGTCTAGATGAAGAAGACTCTGAATTCAAAACTACTTGCTGCCTTTGTAGGTCCTGCCTCTTTAGACAAAGGTTAGAAGAAGATATCTTCACAAACAAATCCACCTTGTGAGAGAAGAGACGTGGTAACATCAACATCCCCCAGAGAAAAAGAAACCGGCAAGCGATATTACTATTCTGCCTTGCATATGACCATGAATCACAACTCTGAGATGGAAGGGAGCGGTGACAACAGTGGCGCAAAATGCACTAACTTTATAAAATGAATGAATCATCGTCAATTAGTGCTGAAGAAGGGGAAGGCGAATGCTCGAATGAAAGAAATCTCCGTTAAAAATTTATTTGAAGACTGTTTCCAATTTCTTCTTTCTTTCCCAATGTTCTGCCTCTTAAAACAAATGAAAATCTGATAAAGAACTTATTTTGGAGAGGCCATTGTTACGGTGTATTCTTGTATTGATTTACCAAAGCAGGAAACTTTCAGCGTCATACATCGTTTACCCGATCAAGTTGCTAGAAATAAGCGTATGCAGTGATGGTCCTTCCCTGCTCTAGGGAACCAGAATGGACGACATCTTCCATATTCCACTAGCGGAAAAGCAAAGATCTTTGTGGATGCTATGGTTTTCTTTCACAGTTTGTGATAACCATTGTCTTTTTCGTTCCTGCCGGCATGCAAAACCCATTTTTCACCACCTGTAACAGGCTTACGGCCAAATCACATTGAAAAACCGGTTCTCGTACGATCACCGAAGTTAAGCAACGTCGAGCTTGATCAGTAACTAGATGGATGACCGCTTAGGAAGAACAGGTGCTGCAGGTGGTGAAGTGGATAACGACCCAAAATTAGAAATCAGACAAGTCTGTACCCCTCTCTTTACAAGCCGAGAGAAATTAAGCAGAGAATCAGTGAGGCGCCTGAGAATGTTATGCAAGAGATGCTACAGCGTGTTTGGTAGGGGCTGGACTACAGACTTGACGTGTATCGTCTTACAGGTGGTGTGCATATTGAACATTTGTGAAATCGGTTATGAAATCCATATCCCTTTTAATATCTTGTTTGAATTTTGGTCAATAAAACTTTATTGATCAACATCAAGCCTATTTAAGTTAGTTTGCTTGGGAAATGTAGCTACTTAGATATTCAGATTTTAAAATATGTCAATTTCGGGAGACACCTTGTATAATGAAGTTAATTTTTTCAGCTATTAAAACAGAAAGGACAGGGAAACTTAATCGCCGGCAATAAATTAAATCCCGGTGGAATACAATGTCAATAAATTAAATCCCGGCAGGATACAATGTCAAATTAAATCCAGGCTGGATACAATGTCAATAAAGTCATTGGTTATATTCACTGCGGTATAACAAATGATTTACGGTATTTAATATTTCACCGGCAAACTCAATTTAAACCGCAAAAAAAAAAAAAAAAAAAATTCTTTTTAATATACACGATACTATACACGTTATATTATTTTGGCTTTCCGCATTTTACATTGAACACGTGAATAACGAAACGGTTATTGGCGCTGACGATGGAATCTGCAAGCCGAGTTCAAGATCCAGACGAGTTAATTGTCTTCACATTCGCAAAAATAACCTTCGGAAAGGCATGAATCCATCCATTTTAAAGACTAGCTAGGGGTTAATTAGCAGAGTAAATCTAAACTACAAGAAGACAGAGTGCATTGTCATCAGTAAAAGGATGAGCCCAAAATGCGATTTTCAGGTCGGTGACACTAAAATCAAGCAGGTGCGGAAGTTTAAATATCTGGGAAGTGCTTTGACAGAGGACGGCCAGTGCAAGACAGGTCCGTAGACATATTGGGATGGCCAAGGACGCATTCCAAAAGCTGGGCTAAGTATTGAGGGGACAATAGGATTTCTTTGGTGACAAAGAAAAGAGCTGTTACATCTGTCCTCTTTTACAGCAGGAAAGTTGGACGGTCTCCTCAAAGATGAAGAGACTCGAGACGAGGGAGATGTTGTTCTACAGAAGGATGCTGAGAATAACATGGACCGAGCGTATGAGCAACGATGAGGTCTTGGAGAGGATGCAAACAAGGAGGAGGCTTATACTTAATACCAGGAAGAGGTAGCTGAAGTTTCTGGGACACGTAATGAGAAAAGAGGGTCTGGAGAATCTGATACCCACAGGTTGAATAGGGAGAAAGAGAGACAAAGGAAAGCAACGCATGGCATACCTGGCGGGCTTTGGATGACAGAACATGGTCTGGTGGGGTGGCAGAGAAACGAAAGTTATTGAGAGCTACAAGGGATAGGGGAATGTAGAGAGCCATGATCGCTTACGTCCTGAAAAGACACGGCACATAAAAAAGGAAGAAAGACTAGGATTTTTAGACTTTAATCATTTCACCCCAAGCAAGGCGGGAATACCATTGGGTACGCAGGGCGCTGCAGGGAGTGAAAGAGAGAGAAATGACCGAATATAGGGAGGAAATATAAACAGGAATCAAGAAGATAGAAGATAGCGATTGACGTTTGATATAATGGAATATGCATACACCTGTGTTCCCCCTCACTGGAATATAATTGGCTGGTGTCCGTCATAAATACCGACGGACGTGTAGGTGAGTCAAAGAGCCTTAGTCTGAGTGCTAAGTCTATAACGACGCCCATTGGACTATACCATTGATCTACACTTACCTGCGACTACGACGTGTACCAGTCGATTACTGCTACCGTATTCTACTTGGTTATAGTAGCCAAAACCACTTAGCTACTGCGTTCAAATATATCCCTTTCCGGGACATATCAACGCTGCATTTAAAGTTTTTAAAATTGCAGTTATCAGGGAAGGAAGTATACAGGAGGTAAGTGTGAGAAAAGAAACTGTTGGAGTATGAATGACGGTTGCATTTACCAATGTCAATAGTAAACAGGTTGGTCATAGGTGGAAACCAGTCTAAAAGAAGCAAAAAATCTGAATTTTAAACCGTGGAGAAAATATCAGTCAATCAATCCACTATTTAAGCCATTTTTGTCACCAGAAAAATGAAAAGAAGAATAATCTGTGGTGAAGTATAATTATCTACGTCCCCAAAAAGACATGGTATTATTATTATATATATATATATATATATATATATATATATATATATATATATATATATATATATATACTAGCAGTAGAGCCCGGGGATGTAACAGTAAGAGATAGATCAAGTATCGACCATCATAAAGACTGAAAAATAAAATTGACAAAGATTATTGTTTAAGGTTGACGGACACGCATGTCTTAATTATTTTTTTTTTACGAATTGGTCAAACCCAAACTCAAACAAAAACATTGTTTTCAATTGTTATGAGTCTATCGATTGAATAGAATTTTATTATAAACAATTGTCTTGTAAATGGAATTTTTAAAGCATTCTGAATGTAAAAATAAAGAAAAAAGAGTCCAAGACTAACACTACTTGCCAAAAAAAAGTGAAGTTTTGTTGAAATCGGTTGAAAAATGTAGGAAATCCGATCCCATATATAAACGAACGAACATACACACACACACACACACACACACACACACACACACTGGGTTTTATAAGTATAACTCGATATGAGTTATCCCTCTTTCATTCTCGTGATGATGCCTCTTTATCGTGTTTTCAAATTGATTTTGTGCAAAAACAATGTTTTTCCAATTTTGGGCGCTGTCAGAACTACCGCAAGGTAATTTTACTTAGTCCTGTGAAGTTTTGTTGAAATCGGTAGAAAAATGTAGGAAATCCGATCCAATATATAAACGTAAAGACACACACACACACAACTTGGGTTTTATAATAAGTATGATATACAGATTGTGAAACGATAGAACTAATTTGTAATTTGTCGTTTGACATTTTCTACGATTAAGCCCTTCCTAAAGAAGGAAAAAGAAAGAGGCGCCTGTACTTTTGTTGGTTAACCGCTGCCCCACTCCACCAAGTAAGAAAATTTATGAATGAAAACACAGTGTGGGAAAGGAAGGGGAAGTGGAAATGTCGTAGTAAACAGACTGCATAATTTACATTATGAATTACGCATCGGCTAGTAATGATTGGACAAAGACGAAACGCGTTTAATTATGACGCTTCGTAAGGATTGCTATTCAATATACAGTTTCAGGCTCTACTTTTAAAAGTAAAAAAAAAAATGCCCAAAGCTTAACGAATTTATTAGAACTCTATTTAGTTATTACAATTAGCACTAAAAATAAAATTAAAAAAATATTTAAACAAAATAAATAAAAATAAAGTAATAGTTCCTGGCCTCTAACAGACCCGTTATCTTTACGTTAGAACCTGGGTAAAAGGCAAATGTATTGAATACTAATTTTTTCAATGTAGTTCATCTCCGTACTTGAAACATTATGCGCAAAACAATATACCTATCCCTAATACTTTGGCCTGGACCCACTAAATATCGTCAATAGAATTGCAAGGGTTACAATAAACGCAACAGCTATATAATGTTCACTAACTCCCTCTTTTCTGTTGTGGCCTAGCTTGACGACAGCTCTGACAGAACGCAGGGAAAGTAAATTTATGCCTTTACTAAGGACGTGACCATGGACCCGAGAACCATTGCACCAAATTCCGCCAATTATGTCATATTGAATAGGGTCAAGAAAAAAACCTCGAAGGAACTACTCTTACAAACCCACAGATGCAGGGGTCATTGGCGATTCGGGAGTAAGGGAAATGAGGTTCATGCCCTCAGCTTTAATTCTGCCTGGGCTCAAGGTCTCAACCACATACTTTTATACGTTAGAAGGAAGTTAGTTTATATATCTTAGTAATCTAAGATATTCGAAAAGATTATAGTAATAATAAAATTAAAAGTACCTAAGCCATAGTTAATTCCCCTAAAGTCTTCTCCGACAGTTGATATTAAACTGTGTTGAAATACAATAGCGAGAACCTGGTGGGGAAACAGGTTGGAGAGGATTGATGACGATTAACCTTAGAAAGGAAAAAAAGAGAGAAAGAAAACAGAGAGAGAAAGAGAGAAAAAACACGGAATTAAAAAAAAAATATTAAAAAAAAATTGAATTGACGTAAACGTGCTGTGTATCAAGGGAGATTACTCCCTTTTTGCATATTATTTTTTACCATATGATTAAAAGCTCATCATCGTCGTCGTTGGCAGAACTCGTTGCCGAGCATTGGAAGTGATCATCAACATTTCCTTGTGTGTGAAATGTGTTCTATATTGGATCTGAAGAGACGTCCTCAGCCACCGCACGATGTGGTAAGAAGGTTGAGGGAGTGGAACGCTCTGGTTTATTTTGCGCTATCTTCGTCTTTAATTTTCTATCGGTGTTTTCGAAGGATTTTCTTTTTCTTGGACTGATCTTCTGTAATTGGTTTCTGTTGCAGCTTCCGTCTTCCAATTGATCAGATAGATTTTTTTTGTCCTCAGCAAATTCTTTTTAACCCTTTCACTGCTACTCATTTGCCCAGTGCTGCCCCCATCCGGCCAGCCATTTTAAAAGAAAATGCCAAATTTCAACCTACATATTTTATTACACAGAAAACTGGCACCAGTGTGTTTTACAGCATTCCATTTTCATGGATATACCTGGGAATGACTTACCAGATTAGTAATGGGTATACACATGATATCTTTTGAAGCATTGTCCTTTGTGATTTGACGATAGATGGCGTAACGGGACACTCATACCAGCGGTATGCAAAAAACGTAGGTTTCCGTACTTAGCCAGCTGGAGCAAGATAAGAAAAACAAAGATCTCCCTAGTTAGCAGCGGAAGTGTTAAGCTGATCCTTTAATAGATGACGTAGGACTCCACGTGGTCTC